CATCTGCCTTTGGCTCAGGTCATGATCTCAGGGTCCTGGGATCAAGCCCCATGTCCATCTGGCTCCATGCTCATCTGGGAGTCTGCTTCTCCCACTCCCTCGGCCCCTCCTCCTTGCTTGTGCTTTCTCTCTCTCTCTCTTCTCACTCTTTCTCAAATAAATAAATAAAATCTTTAAAAAAGAAAAATAAACAGGCGCCTAGGTGGCTCAGTTGGTTAAGCAATTGCCTTCGGCTCAGGTCATGATCCTAGAGTCCTAGGATCGAGTCCCGCATCGGGCTCTCTGCTTGGCAGGGAGTCTCCTTCTCCCTCTGACCCTCCCCCTTCTCATGTTCTCTCTCTCTCTCATTCTCTCTCTGTCAAATAAATAAATAAAATCTTTTTTTTTAATATTTTATTTATTTATTTGACAGAGAGAGATCACAAGTAGACGGAGAGGCAGGCAGAGAGAGAGAGAGAGAGGGAAGCAGGCTCCCTGCTGAGCAGAGAGCCCGATGCGGGACTCGATCCCAGGACCCTGAGATCATGACCTGCCGAAGGCAGAGGCTTAACCCACTGAGCCACCCAGGCGCCCCAATAAAATCTTTTTTAAAAATAAAATAAAAAATAAAAATAAAAGCAAAAAATAAATAAATGGAACATCTAGTGAGTCATTGTGGCTATCATCTGGGACAAGGAAGAGGTACCTGTGTTAAAAACGGTAGATTGCCTTCTGCATTCCACTACACAAAACAGTAGCAGTGAAATTAGCAAGGGCAAACAGAGTGGCAAAGAACAAAACATACAAATTAGGAGCAAAACTTAAATACTTCTAGAGGAAAAAAAAAATAAACCACAAGCAAAATAAACTCAGCAGGTACTTTATTTCACCTCAACATTCTATAAAATTAATTCTTAAAGAGAGCATTACAGAGACCTAAACAGGTGAACTTGACTCATAAAGCCAGAGTGAGGTTCCCAGGTATCAAAGAGGACCTGGGTGTATTTGATCTTCCTACTGTGTTCATGCCACACCAGCTCTGTCTCCACATCTTCATCCTTACCATTTTCCAATAGCCATACCAAGAGGTGTACGCAAAAAAAAGGGGGGGGGTGTAATTTGTTTTGACTCAATGTAAAGTTGCCAGTAAGACTTCAGTTTATTAAGATTCTACCTGATCTTTTGATCTTTTCTTTCCTTTATCCATACAACAGTCTTTGTCAAATCTGGCCCTATTTCATGTTTATCTAAACAAACATGGTTAAAACTGATAAGATGGGAGAGGGGGCATTGCTCCCAATTCACAGCAGTGACAGCTTCAAGAAATTATCAGATAAGAAAGAAACATGAATAAAATTCAAAAGTCTACATTCTAGGAGCATCTGGTTGGCTCAGTTGGTTAGGCATCTGCTTTCAGCTCAGGTCATGATCCCAGGGTCCTGGGATCAAGCCCCACATCAGGTTACCTGCTCAGCAGAAGTCCACATCCTGTTTCATTTTTCTTATCCCCTGTACCTCACCAGTCCAACCAACAATGCAGAAGGATCTCTAGGGCAGTTCTTCCAAGGAAACAAATGGACACCTTCTGCCCATTGACAATATCCAAACTAAAGATGCTAAGTAGCGAAGTGGTGCTGGCCTCTGGAGGAGGAGTATGAACAATGTCCCCAGATTTGTCCCCAGTACTGCCATTCAGTGCCTTTATGTTATCTTATAAATATGTTTATTGAGCATGCTCCTTTGAAACATTTTACTAAGGAGCTCCTCAACCTTAGCATCCTCTCTTTGTCCCTCCTAATGGGGAAAGATCTGACAAGCCCACTCACAACCAAGAGGAATCTCCCAGAACCTTCTAAGAAGGAAAGTGGGCCAAGTCAAACCTGTGCTTGGCAGTGCTCAGTGCTGATTCAAGTTTACATTCTAGTTAGAAATAAACGCTTTCTAGTCACACTAGTTGGAAGCAAAGAATTGTTGAATTCATCTGTTAATTATAATTAAAAGTGCTACAAAAGACACTGGGTTCTGTGAGATCCCATAAAGGGGAGATTGCCTGTGAGGTCGGGACGACTTCGAGGGCAGGTATATTTACTGGTGGTCTATCTGAGTTGATGAGTCCGTGTTAACCTGGTTATGTGCAGGCACAGGGACAAAGTGGGGCGAAGTAGAAAGCATTTAGGCTACAAGTGAGAAGCAGCAGGGTGCATGGAGGGAGCAAGAAGGTGACCAAGAGGCTGAAGTATGCAAAGTGTTGGGAAGAGTGAAGAGGGGTGAGGTGGGAAGGTGGAGCACATCACGCAGGCCTTGTGGAGGTGGGGCAGTTGGCATTTTATCCTGTGGGTCCGGGGCCCCTCTGTGCTACTAGGCTGCAGTGGTACCACAGGCTAGAGAGCGACGAGGTATGTTGCCCAACTGCTCTCCTAGGCCTGGGCTCTGGCCCTCTGAGGGTTGGGGTGGAGAGGATCATGTGTCCCTGGGCTCAGAGCATTCCTTTGGGTGGCCCGTGTGCTGGTCTTGGCCCAGGCATTTGGCTCATTCACAGACAGCCTGTCTAGCTTCATGACTTGGAATAATCAGGTAATGACTTCGGTGTCGCCTGTCTGGATCATTCTTTGAAACACTCTCCTGCTGTCCCAGGGGAGCCCTGGTGGTGGCGGAGCTTGAAGCAACAGGAAGACTTCCTCGTCATTCCTGCTCAGTACCGCCAGGCACCCATCCAGGAAGGCCAGACTAGAGGTGCCTCCTATTTACCTGAGCATGGTGGCATTCTTCCAGAAGTTCAGTTGCCCATTTACAGTGTGTCAGCATGAAACCTGGCTTACAAATTAGTCCACCTTTGATGAATACTTGATACACTGTGCATTTTGACATTGTCTTGTGGGTCCCCCTTGGGATATTGCTGGATGTAGAATTCAGTAAATATTCAGGAAGTGACCCTGAATGGCAACCACCATTGGGGTGGTCTGAGTGGTAGGCCACTTGGTGCTGCACTTCCTGGCTCATGTCACGTGCCCACACATATGTGGTTAGACACCCTGCTGTTGACCAGCCTGACGTCCCTGGGCACTGTCAAGCCCCTGCCCACTGTCTGAGCACCAGCCCTCTGCCTTACTCATTTTATGGAAACCACCACACATCATAATTAGTAGATCAGTATATGCAAGGGGTTAAGTGAAACCTTTGTTAAAGAGGTAATAAAGAGACAGAGAAAGGAGAAAACAAAGAAAAACAGAGAATAATAAAAATAATAATAAAAAAATAATAGGGGCGCCTGGGTGGCTCAGTAGGTTAAGCCTCTGCCTTTGGCTCAGGTCATTGGGCTCTCTGCTCAGCAGGGAGCCTGCTTCCCGTTCTCTCTCTGCCCGCTGCTCTGCCTACTTGTGATCTATCTCTCTGTGTCAAATAAATAAATAAAATCTTTTTTAAAAAATAAAGATAAATAATAATAGCATGCACCATTTATTGAACACCCACTTTATACCAGATGTTCTACAAACACTATTGCTCATCACAACTCTACAAGGTTATGTGACTCCCATTTAACTGATTAGAACAGTGGAGCCCAGGGAGGTTCAAGAATTTGTCAGATCTTCACAATAAGAAAAAGCCTGGTCTGGGGTTCCCATTGGACAACGATGCTATGCTTCTATGCAGTGAGGGAGGAAGCTAGCAGCACTGTGAAGACAAGAGCCCAGTTGTTTTGCATGGAACCTCTGTACATCCAGCATCCTTGCCGTGCACACTGCCCTTAGCACCTCTGCCAACATCTGTGTGTTTCCTCGATATTCTGCTCTCCCTCTCACTTCCCTCCCAACCCTGCCTTAAGAGAAAAGCTGCCTACCAGATTGCTGTCCCCAACTCCTGACCTCTCCCTCCAGTTTCTGGCCATTTCCTGTTTTAAAATCATCCCCACCTCTGGGATGATGGGAAGTCAGCATTGGACAGCAGTGGCCTTCCCCAGAGATTTCCTTAAGGAATTCAGAGCCAGTGTTGAGTGGGTGAGCAAAATCATGGCTTTATGCTTCCCAAAGACCTTCAGCAGGCTTCCCACAGTGGCCAGGAAGTGGGGGCAGATGAAATGACAGCTTGAAAGCCCCAGAGGCCTTAACCTCTGCCTCTTAATTAATTGAATACATCCTTTTAGCTGGCTGGAGTCTCTGTTCCTTGGCCGGTGTTAATACAACCTCAAGTCGGTAGCATGTCTCAACACAGAGAGATGATCTTACAGATAATGGTAGTGTGGGCGACAGCAGTGGGGTCAGAACCCCGATGAGGCCCCCAAGTCATCCAATCAAAGGAGACATGTGCTCAAGAGGGAGAGATGAGGAAGACCTTGATGCCTAGTAGGCCTCCAGGTCAGCAGCCAGGTGAGCACCCCAACTGGAAGAGTAAGCATCTGTTGGTCCCGTGGGCAGGATCTGAGCTCCCAAGCTCAAAGTGGCCCAAGCCAGCCCAGGACATCAAGAGATATATATATATAAAAAATGACTTTTGTATTTAGCAGAATTCTCTAAGGAAAAAAATGCATATAGGGGACCCAAAATTCTAATAAGCCTGGGGTGAGAGGAGGGAGCCTCCAAGGGACATGGTGGGGTCAGTCACAGTAGGTAATGGCCAAGATGCTTTATAAAAGACTCTAAATCTCATTAACTGCAAGGGCATTCCTTTTACACATGAGGCGTGCAAGCTGGGGACAAGCAGGAGGAACTGTTCACTGTCCCTCAACTGTTCTCCTCCCATGTGTCAGTTATCCTCTCATTGACTAGAAGGGGTTACGGATTGCTTTCTCTGCCCAGAGTGTTCACACATCTCTCTTCTTTCAGCCCTGATGAGAGGGATGCTGCAGAATACAATCTTAGAATATTGTAATGTAAATCTTTGTACCCCTTCAGTCGGGGCCCTAATCTCTGGGTCAAAATCATGGCATTGACCCAGCCTTTCTTACATTGGCCCATCACGGTGGTAATTATGGCCATACTACCAAGAGTTCCACTGACTTTTTTTTTTTTTTTTATCCTTTTCAGATCATCAAGGAGGTCCCTCCACCCCCTGCGGAAGAGAGTGAGGTAAGTGACCAGAGCAGGGAGCAACCGGATGGAGAGGGTAGTAAGGTGGGACAGAGAGCTGGCTGGGCTGGCCCGGGACTCAGGCCCCTGCAAAGTAGAGCTAAATCAGACCCAGAGAGTGGGGAGGAAGTCTTGGATCCTTTGCAAATCGAGGACGAACAGGAACTGAACGGAAATGGCCCGCACAGACAGAATGGTTTGGGAGGGTTTTCTCCCCGCAAAGATAAAATCTGAAATGCAAACATAGATACTTTTATCCGTACAATTTTCTCCTCTGACACAGACCCTGTGGGTTTCTCTCTTCCCTGCAGAGAGATATGCTTCCTGTATGTAGATCAGGGCAAATTTGTTACATTCTCCCAACAGTTAGTGATTCTAGGAACAGCCTGATGCTGAAGTATTCCATTTTGCTTTCATTGAAAATAATATCACCTAAAGATTTGTCAGGCAGTGAAACAAATATGTGAGGGTTGGGAACGGATATGCTAATATCCTGACCTTGCTCTCAAATCCTCGTCATTTAAAGGAAGAGAAGACATCTTAGATTCCTCCATAAATTGGTCAGTAGGCAGTTCTGGTGCAAGCATGGCCTGCCTGGGGTAAAATCTGCGGGGGGGCATTAAAGGCTAGCCGTGAGAAGGAGCATCCCTGGGCAGGGGCGTCTGGCCGGAGCTTTCCTCATCCTCTGATCACGCCCAAAGCAACAGGCCTCCTTGGATGCATCACTCACCAATTAGAAGCCAGTGTACAGGTCTGAAAATTTAGTGGAGTCAAAAGATAGAGGGGCAATGATTCAAGTTCATTGCCCTCAACCGCTTAAGTCTATTGTATCCAAACTGAGCACAGTCCCCTCACCCTTCCTCTTCCCAATGCCTTTGTCAAGTTTCCGGCACACGGAGAGAAGAATGATTGAATTTAACATTCCATGGGTCTTTTATACCCTGAACCACATGCTCATAAGCCAAGGGATTTAATAGCTGCAATCAATTAAAGCACATATTGTTGGAATGCAGACTTTCTGCCCAGAAATCAAGGGAGGAAATTACATTGCTTTGCAAAAAGGAGGAAGGAAAAAAACCCTCTTTACATCCACAAAAGCCTTTTCTTAACCCTTCAAGAGAAAGCACCATGGTGAGTTCCACGGGTTCCAGTTTGGCTGGGTTTCCCTTGTGTGCAGCTGTCTCATAGTCCCAAAGGAAAACAGGGCAAGAATCTTTCGCTTGAAGAAGTTGCTCTGTTTGCCCTGGGGTGAAGAATGTTCCCTCCCTTCATTATGTTCAGTTAGAGGAACTGTTGCCCTTTCTTCTGGAGCTGACTCTGCATTTGCCTTTGGAAGCTGACCTGGCAGCCACTGTGGTCAAAATACAGCAGGGGACTTAGGTACCAGACTATGGGGAGTGATTTACCCACCACCACCTAGTTTCATACACTATTTCCAGAGAAGTCATACTTCCAACTGAAGAAGGTCAACTGGATTTCTGAAAGAGAAGGACAACCTTGGGATCCTTGAGATATAGGGGTCTGTGTTGGATCTGAAGGAGTTTCCAGGCTGGCTGGGGCAGGCTACAGGCTGCGCTGCTCACTCAGAATGTATGTTGGTCTTCATAATTCCTTGGCCTCATGAGTTAAGCAGCCCGAATCTCCTTCCTAATGTTTCAGCAGAGAAAAAAATAAAGAAATCCCACAGGAACAGATAATGTAATTTAGCCCTACAAAGGGTCTTACACAGTGCCCTGAAAATCACAGTCTGAATCTAGACTTCTAGAACCTTCTCCACTCCAGTTTCTTGCATTCAAATCCCACCAGTCCCACAGCTCATATGCTACTATCTCCACAAAACACACTGGAAATCCTCCCATCATGACTAATTTTTCATTTCTCCCTTCTCCACATTACAGGGTTGTTTTACTGACCTTTTCTTTTGCATCAGTGTTTAAGATCATTAGCTACTTGAAGGTCAGGACCTATATCACACGAATCTTGGACTTATCCCCAAAGAACTTAACACATTGTCTAACACTCAATTAATGGCTCTATAAAGTCAAACGCTCTGCCATATATGTGAACAAGTTCAACATTAATTATCCAAACTTTCATCAGTTCTATAAGCATCATATCCTAAGGGAGACATATCTACTATGTAAATAGCTAAACTTAGAATGAACACAACTTTATAATGAGCTCTCAGTGGTCCTTTTCAATAAGGAATATTGAAATACATAATATAAAAAAGCATGACTTTTTGAGATTCCAGCAACCAACAATGATCCTTCTGTATAAAGAGAAGACAAAGAAAAATTACTTTTCTCGAGACCTCGGTAAAAGCAAGAAAGCTCAATTTCAACAACGAAGAGGGGTATTTTCTGGGTTGAGAGTCTTTTCTAATTGGCAGAAGAGTGAGGGTTCCTCACAAAGCCTCTAGCTTCTCCAAACGAATGGCAGTTTAAGGGGGAATCCAGTAATGTACTTCATCTGATGGTTTAGTTCTAAGTCACCTGCCATGGATTTTGTGACTGTGTTTCTTTGGGAGGAAGAGAGCTGCATGCTAAAGGCACTGACATGGGTGGGCATACAATTAACAATAAGCACCTGGCTTTGAATAATGAACTTATTTCCAGGTTCATTATCACGCTCACTCATCCTAACAATTTCTCTGTGGCAAGAACTTTTTTAAAATAGGAAAACCGAGTTATGGGAAAATCATATAACTTGTCTAGGACCAGACAAGTTGAACCACTTCACAGCTATGTCTCCAAGGAAAGTCGGAGTTGCCCCCTACTCTGGAAGAGTTAAGAGCCAAATGACCATCAGGCATCTTCTTTTCAGTGGACATTCCAAACACACTATCACATGCACACACACACACACACACACACACACACACACATGCTTCAAGCATTAGTGTTAGAACAGGCCCAGAATTCAGTATTCTCTATTTCAACCGTTTAAAAAAGGAACATTGATACTAAAAAAGGAAATACACTATTCTTCATTGAAGAATACAGGACAATCATGGTGCTGTCCTTAATCATTGTGTTTGCATGTAAACAGATATGATATGGGCTCCTGACATGTGAAATGCAACTCAGAATGGGGAAATCTTTGGTCAGCTGGGATTTTTGGTATTTACAAAGAGAAGTGTTGTTGGATTTTTCTGACTTTCCAGTTCACTCCTAGGAATTCATCTCCAAGGCTGACCTTGAGGGTGACCTCTCGGGCTTATCCCCAAAGACCTCGGATGAGACAGGACAGCCAGTTCTGCTCTGGGTTCTGCCCTCCAGAGCCTCCTGTGCCTGGGAGTTTTAGTGGCCTTGGTCCTTTACTCATGTCATCACCCTCACAAAACATACTCTTCTATAAATGTAGATGATCTTGGTGGCAGATTTATTCTTTTCACACTCTTTATTTTTCTCAAAATATAACACTGTGCTGGCAAGCTCTGGGAGCTCAGCTCCAGTTGCTGGAGTGAGTAAATGAAGGAATAGACAAATAAAGGGCCCTTGTTTGTGGCTAGATGGGCTTGTCCTCAGGGTGGAAGATGGGTTACCCTTCAATGAACTGTCACATGGAACTGTTTCCTTGGGCTCTATTCTGCTTCGGGTACGTTCCCCTTTGCGTAGATAGTTGCAGGTGTTGCCTGCAGCACAGTGACTTGGGGATGAGCAGCCTAATCTGGCCCAGGATAGAGCCTTGAATTCTGTGGGGGATCAGGGAGTTCTTCACAGAATAGCCCACATTCCAGCCATATCCTAAAAGAGATGTAGAAGCAGTAGAAGAAGGATGTTCTGAACACACGGAGCCAAGAATGTTGAAGAGTGGAGTTGTCCAGAAGCCTGGCATGATTAGAAGATGGCGAAATTCAGTGTCTGAGGGTGGCACGGGACTAACCCAGTTATGGGCAAACTGAGCTTACATGTTTCAGGCTCCGGGTTCTGGAGCTCTCTCTCTCTCTCCCTGGAGCAAGGCTGCCTGAGGACCTGAGGCTCAGAAGGGACGTCTGCCATCTGAGTAACGTGCTGCCACTCATTTTACCCACGTATCAGCCAACTAGATGTCTGGGGCCACCACATCCTTTAAGATTTAAACATAACTTCCCCTGATGGGAAACAAGCATCCCTCCCTAATCTCTGCGGTTTCTCCAGACACCACTGACTCCTCCTCCTTGCTCCAGCCGGATCTCATCTTCTTCATCTGCCAAGCACCATCTTGCAAACCTGATTCCTACGCTCCACGACCCCACTTCCCCCGACCCAAACCTAAGGCATCTCGAGCACAAGACCATCTGCATAGGGACTTGAAAAGGTTTCAAAGGACTGGGGTGAGTTCCAGCACAGGCCACCGTCCTTGTCATTCCTGCTCCTGGGAGGTGCCTGAGGCCCTCTTCTCAGGGGGGCCCAGGCAGTCTTCTGGCAGCTCGTTTCTCCACTCTCACAGCCACCATCCTCTGCTGACTGCCCACAAGCTCCCCATCCCCACTACTTTGCTCATGCAGAGCGATGTGGCTTCTCCAGTCTGTCCTTTAATAATCACAGAGGATCTGTGTCCAGGGAGTTCTTCCTCAACATCCCCACCCAACACGTCCTTGAAGGGCAGTGTGATGGGGGTTCCCCAAGACAGACTTTCTACTTAATTCGATCTAGAAATTCACTTCAAGTGCTGCCTATGTTCTTGGTGGCATTGCTGGGGACTGATTTTACTCCATCAGTTTTGGGCCAAATGAAAAGACACATTAAAGAGTCCCTTCTCTTCTGAAGATTGCAAAACCCTCCCGTCTCTAGAATGTGTAAACAAAGCCATGGTAACTGCAGGGAAATTCTGACTCTCCTGTCCATCGAACCCTGGGCCTTTGTGTTGTCTTTGCTGATGTTGTTTGAGTTTGGCAGGCAAGCTCGGGTCAGGGGATTACACGGCGGGCTTGGCGGAGCAGATTGAAGTCTTGGCATTTCCTGTTGTGGGAAGGCCAGCCCCTGCCGCGCATGCACAGCAGAGTAGAGCCCAGAGCTGTAGCGGGTCTAAGGTGGGACCGACGACATGAGGAAGGGCAGCTCCGGGAGCATGTAGGGGGAAACTCCCAGGACAAGACATCAGGGAACAGGACCAGAGCTTCAGCTCCACTGATCCCTTCATTTCCCTGGATCTGACTTGACTGTGCAATGAATAGGCTCCAGTAAATGGGCTCTAGTGTTTGAACTCCAGTTCTTTAAAAAAATTAGGAGACCCTTAAGACCGTTTCAGTTCCCTATTGAATAAATCAGCTTTAGTCTTGGAGTTCCTTATGTTCTTCGTGCTGTCATGTTCAGTTTTGAGTGACATAACTTCAGTTCTCTCCTTTGGAAAACTGCACAAGACCATCCGTGAAGCCACATTTCATATATGACACACAGACACCCACCTCCAGGGATAGTTTAACTGTATGTGTAAGATATCTAAGGTTTTTGCTTTGACATCCTAAGCCTTCTGAAATTCTCACTGTGAGCTGATATTTGGGGCTCTTTGACTTTATTATTTTATCCTATCTTACAGTCATAAAGCCTCCAAATGAGCAGGATCAAGGAGGGGAGGGGGGAGTAGAAAAGTAGCATTTATTTGATACCATCAAATGACTGGAAAAGCAAAATCCAAAGGACAAAACCCAGAATGTTGCCAACACTGAGAAAGAAATGAGAGTGAGGTTTCCTGGGCTCGTAGGCAGCTCTGCCCCCCATGAGCAGGGTGACCCAAGCCACTGAATCGCTCTATTCCTTCTCTGTAAAGTGAACCATGCTGCTTGCTGTGAGATTAAAAGGTTGATGCGTGTAAAGCACTTGGAAGACTGAGTGGCACATACATGGCAAGGGCTTCATAAATTCAGCTGTGATTATCACGAACTCGGTACCTGCTTATTGACCACCTCCTGGGCACCAGGCTCCGTTCCAGACCTAGAATCCAAGGGCAACAGAATCCACTCAGTATTCAGGGCTCATGGTCCCACGGTGAAGGAGGACAGATCTGTTTTAAAAAGACAGAGGGACCAACCCAAATATCATCTGCCAATATGTTGCGGATCCCCCTGGTCTGCTGTGATCACGTCCTTTAAGATCTATAAAATTTAAAAAAATTTTTTAAAAAGAAGTCTACCCATCCCAAGCAGAGCAAGTTACCCAGAGAGTCTTAATGCATTAGTATGTTATTGCTTTGTTTTGTTATTATCTCTGGATCTCTGTCCTGCTGATGACTTGTCATTGCTCGGTTCCTTGCCTCCTGCATGGGATGCCCCTTTCCACCTAGGACTCCACTCCAAGTCCTTGATTCTCCGGTACCACCAACACAGGCTGGGGGAAGCAGGCTTGTTCTGAACAATTTCAGCTTCTTTGGCTTATTCTCCTGCTTTGCAGAGACCCCTTCTTCAGCCTCCTTTCTTCATCCAGGAGGGAAATCATACCACCACCCTGTAACCTAGCCATGGCTATAGATGGTGATATTTTTCTCTCCTCAACAGGAATAATTATGGGGCCAAGATAAGGAGCAGTTTTGCTAATTTCCTTCCCTTCTCCGTCCATAATAAGTTCCTCTTGTTTTTTCCCTTCATCTTAAAAAAATATAATAAGCGCTAACTTCTGGTCACTGAGCTAAGTTGCAGGCACTGGGTTAACTGCTTTATTTGAATCAGTTCATCTCATTTGGCTGTAAATTCGACAGATAATTCTTAGGCACCTCCCACATGCTAGGTGCCATTCGAAAAACATGGTAAACGTGACCAATAAACAGAAACTTCCATGGAACCCTTACATTCCAGCCTGGAGAGACCAACCGTAAATAAATGTCAAGCCATATTGGGACCCATTATGGAAAATGAAACAGATTGATGGGATGAAGAGACTGGGCCTACTTTAGAGGGATGTCCAGGGAAGACCTCTCCAGGAGTGACAGGAAGGAGCCAGCCAGGAGAAGAGCACGGGGGGGAGCATTCCTGGGCAAGGAAGGGGACAGCTAGTGCACAGGCCTCAAGACAGGAATGTGCTCAGTCTCTGAAGGACAGAGAGAAGGCAAGCAGGCTGGAATGCAGGGAGGCAGCATGGTAAGGAAGAAGGCTGGAGAGATGAGCTAAAGCCGCAGCTTGCAGGCAGAGCCGGGGTTGGGATTCTTCTCTGTTGCTCTGTGCAGAATGGACTGTAGGCGAGGAGTGCGGCAGGGATGTCAGTTAGGCAACCTAGATGGAGAAAGTGTAGGGGAATTGGGACCAGTGGGGTGGGAGGGAGGTGAAGGTGGAGAAATCACAGATTTGGGATCTTTTAGAAGTAAGGTCAACAGAAGTTGCGGGCAAACTGAGATGAGTTCGGGGAAGGACGGTGGGGGAAAGAGAGGATTCAAGAGTGGCTCCAGGCAGTGGAGGAGACTAGAGCAGGAGCAGTTTAAAGTGAGGATGTGGGGAGGCTCCTCTTTGATGTGGTGTTCTTGAGATGGTTATTATCCCCTGAGAGGAAATGTCAGTGTCAAGTCAACATTTGGGTTCAGAGGAGTCGGGGATGAAGATATAAACACACAAGTCATCAACATGTAGAGGGAATTAGATGAAATACCCCATGAAAGGGTAGAGGTGCACAAGGGAACGGGTCCCAGGATTGTGCCAGGACCTAACCAGGTCATTCTGCTTTTACCCCAACTTTACAGATAAGGAAGTAAAGTGACTTGCTCCAAGGAAGGCCCCAGGAACTCTGGGGTTTAACCCAGGCAGTTGCCTCCCAACCACTTTGCCAAAATGGACATGTATAAAGAACACTTGTGCTTTGCTTCCTTCATGTATGACAATCTTTCTGCAGGAAGAAGATGATGACGGTCTGCCCAAGAAAAAGTGGCCTACCGTAGATGCCTCTTACTATGGCGGGCGAGGTGTTGGAGGCATTAAAAGGATGGAGGTAAGAACAGAGTTTCCCGTACTCACATCTGTGTGCCAGCCAGCCACCAGAGAAAACTGGTGACAACTCATACTTGAGGTTGGATGGGGATGTGGATTACATAAGGCATCAGATGGAGAGATGGCAGGTATCCCCCCTTTAATGGCGCACCCCCGTGTCTTGCCCACCATTGAGTCAGAGTAGTTTTCACTCATCTGCTCAAACCCCTCAGTGGTTTTCTCTCTCATTGGAATAAAATCCAAAGTTCTTGCCTGGGTCTGCAGGGTCTTTGCACATGCTGTCCCCACAGCATGGACCGTTCCTTCCCTAAAGATCCATCTGCCCAGCTTGCTCTCTCTGCCCCTTCAACCCTTCCTCTTCTCCTTTTTCCATACCTTCCTCTTCCCTCGCCCTCAAAACCCAAAGGAACTGGGGAGTGAGCAGCACTCACACTGCATGTCACCTGTGTATGTACGATGCCTGTTCTCCAGGGACATTATACTTCATTTTGTCATTTTATTTTATTATATATTATTTATTTTAGGTTCGTTGGGGAGAAAAAGGTTCCACAGAAGAAGGTGCTAAGTTGGAAAAGGCAAAGAATGCCAGAGTGAAGATGCCAGAGCAGGAATACGAATTCCCTGAGCCTCGAAATCTCAACAACAACATGCGGCGGCCCTCTTCCCCTCGGAAGTGGTACTCCCCGATCAAGGTGTGTCTCTCTTTACTCAGAAATCATCATCACTCCTGCTAAGACACTTGCATAGGCAGAACCAGAGTCTTGACGTGATAAAATATCCAACCAAATTCCAGAGTATCACAAGGGAACACAGTTCTAAAATCATGGACTTAAAAGTACAGGTACTTCCTTGTCCTATTTCGACAGTATCAAAGTCGAGACTAGGCTTTTTAAAATCACCATGGCACTCTAGTGGAATGCAAGTGGACTAGGAGTCAAGGGACTGGGGACGTAACCCCAGAAGGTGACTACAAATTTCTCTACTGGCTCATGACTTCATGGGTAGGCAGTTCTACTAACAAAAATGGCTGCATTCCCCTTGATGCCTTCTCTCTCGTCCTCTTGCCATACCACAAGCCCATTCCCCTTTATCCAAGCCTCCTGGCAGCCTTTCAGGTGTTGACCATGGAGCTAGAGCGAGTACTCTTCCTGGCTATGAACAAAACCCCTTTTTTTCTCCACTATCTCTCTCTTCCCCTGCACAGCTCCAGAAAGTAAACCTCTTTGGCCTCTTAAGAAGTGTAAGCCCTGGAAGGTAGCTAATGCTTCCTGAAGGCTTTTCTTCTCTTTCTCTTCCTCTTGTTCTTCCTCTATTTCTATAGGGCAAACAGAAACTGGGCCAAGTCCATGGCCACAAATTAAAGACCCCATGTGAGAGCCAGCTCTCATCACACACACCCACATGGCCTTACCCCTCTTCCAGTGAGAGCGAAAATAATCTTCATCATTCACTAAATTATTTGCTAATCTTAGAGCACCCCTTGTCCTACAAAATCAAAAGAAATAACCATTTTAAACAAGGGAGTGAAATGTCATTGGTAATCGTCTCTTCTCAGCCAAGCTAGCTACATGCTAACAGCACTGTATTTTCATTTTGGATTGCTGTGTTTAAAGCAGGGAGATTCTTTTTTAAGATAAGTCCCTCCCCACCCCCACCCCCTGCCCTGCCTCTTCAGGGCAATGGCTTGAACTCTGGAAAGATGTGGGCGAAACGCAGCTTGCTTGCCTAACAGCTGTTTGCTTCTAATTATTTTCTCATGCAGGACATGCAATGGCGTGCATGCATGTGCAGACAGGAAGGAGCCAAGCGGAGTCTCTGAGATGAACAAGAAAGGGAATTTTCTATTATGTCGTTTTTAGGAATCCGTACCTTGTGACTAACACAACATACTTGGTCATAGCCAGGTTTTCATTTCTGTAATCTTGGATTTGGAAAGAACATTAATTCTGTTTGAAGAATCCAGTTCTTCTGGAGAGCTTGTTACTCCTCTGCTAACTGGTGGTTTAGGACGGAGTTTTATGAAATAAATAGGGATAGAGAATAACTAGATTTAGAAAGCTAAAAACATGCCCAACACCCACTTGGAATTAGTATGAATTCAGCGAGTATTTGTCCTGGGTACTGCCAGATATTAAGCAGACAGAGGTTCTCAAACCTGGGTGAGTATCAGAGTTACCCTGAGAGCTTTAAAAATACAGATTCCCAGGCCTGAAGACTGAGCGTCTTAAAGTCTTAGCGACTTTCAAAGACACACGGGCCATCACCCCTCGCTCACTTTTTCTCATCCAGTGAAACTCCTTTCCCCCCTAGCCTGTGCCCCCTTTTTAACATCTGAACTCCCTAAGGCACACCCCTCTGTTGCCCAATTACTCTTCCCTCCACAGTCCCTGCTCTTGGGCCTCCTCTTTGGTCACTGTGTTGAACTGCTCGTTCTCACAGTGTGGCCCCTGGACCAGCAGCAGCAGGAACTTACTGGAAATGCACATTCTCGGGCCCAACCCACATCTACTAAATCAGCGACTTTTGGCTGTGGGGGTAGCAAGTTGGGATTGAACAAGCCCAGTTAAGAAATTGTCTGGAACCGACAGTTCCAGCCGGGCTTCCAAGGGGTGCTGGCTCCCTGAGGGCTGGAACCTTGGCACTTGGCCAAGAGACCATGACCACACCTCAGCAATTTTCCAGAAGTCTCAGCGAGCAGGCCCGCGTTAGAGTTCGTGGCTCCTTTTCACCACAGACACAACTGCTGTAGTCGTGTGAAGTGGTTGAGAGTGTGAGTGTCAAGGAAACCGCAAAGAACCAGATGGAAGAGACCTGGGATGCTGGTGGACAGGCCCAGGCCCTCAGCAGGACCGCCCTGCTCTAACCTGGGAATGGTGACTGCCTCCTGCTGGTGAGGCGGCTCCAGCCAATGCCTGCTCGGCTCACTCTTTGCAATAGCCCGGGGGTGTGACTGCTCATGCTGGAGCCTTCTCCCTAGCAGACCGGACCTCCTGGAGACAGCAGCTGTGGTTCCCTCATCTTTAGTGGGTGATAGTATGGTGCCTGGCCCACCAGAGGGCCTCCAGCATCTTGTTAAAGAGCTGACACCTGGAATTAACTATGAAACCACCCCTGGAGTATGCTACTGGTTTAGCTACCTCCCAGGATGCACACAGATCACTTTGGCACCATCAATACGAAGAAGCTGACATTTTCCTCACCATCTCTTTGAGGAGAGGAGAGAAAAAAAGGTCATCTTATGTGTTTATGGGCCGGCTGGTTGAGGGAAAGCTAGAAACAAGGAGGTTTCAGAATAGAAGCCCAGAAAGGATTTCAAAAGTAAAATTGTCCATCTCTCCAGAAGAAGTCTCCAAGCAGACTTGTTACCATGACTTCCACGTTCATACTGCTGAACAAGTTTCATGCTCCATGATGAGCCTCACCTTAGCTGTAGCACCTGTGGACCTCACTGGGCCTTGGGAAAAACATTAGCCTCATGTAGTTCCATAAATTCTGCTTCCCTTTCCTGAGCCCTCTCACTGGATTTGTCTTCTTGGTGGGAAACAGAAGCACCCTCAAGAGGTTTGAACTTTTGGTGAGGGCAGGGTTGAGGTAACTCACGGCGATGGCCAGGCACACAGGGACCAGCAACAATGGGAGCTGCACCCCGGGCCTAAAGGATAAGGAGGGGAGATGGTGTCCTGGGCACCAGTGGCAAGGAGAAGAGGACACCCATTGGGAGCTGTGACCGGAGAGAGGAAATCAGCAATCTAAATCTTCCCTACCTCCTGTTTATAGATGGCCCACAAACTAAGAGTGGTTTTCCTTATTTTTAAGTGGTTATGGAAGTTCCTATATAATATCCCAGAGTTTGTCTCTTGAGCTACAAAGCCTAAAACATTTACTCTTTGGCCCTTTGCAGAAAATGCATACAGATCCCTAACCTATAAGAATGTAGCCACTGAAGAAGGCAGGGGGTCAGGGAGGGAACAGAAGGAATGAATGCCCCGACCTCTCCCTCATCTTGCCCTCTTCTCCTCTGGTACCACCTACTGGCCAAACCAAAGGGAAACCAGATGGTATTATCTGCAGAGGTCAGCCTTCTAGAGCTTAGAGCTAGGAAGGCAGAGAAAGGCAGAGAGTGGGTGGCGGCAGGCAGCTCGTGGAGAATGACCCGTCAGCTCTCTGCCCCCACTACAATAGGGACAATACTCCCACCTAGTGCAAAACTTTTAAGAGCCACTGGGAAGACTCTTATGAAAGTCCCCCAATGAAAGTAGTCAGAATCGTATACATCTTTTAAGGTATTGCTTTTGACTCACTTTTATCATGCATTTTGCGGAACAGGTATGAGGAGCTGAGAAGCAGATGAGTGCTTGTGCTAAGGGAACCGAGTGGGGACTCATCACGAGAAGAAGTCCACAATGGGCTTCTCTCCACCATTTCCCAGTCTCATTTAGGGCACTGACCACAGCAGCCACACTTCACCCTTTCCTCATTCCAGGCTCATGACCAGGAAATTTTCCGATATTTGGCCTTAATTTGCCTTTGCTCGGTTTTACCCCCCCCCGGATTGACAGCACCCCATGCTTCTCATTAAATTGGGACTGACCATTTCAGACAAGTTAAGTAATGCCCAGATAGATGGCCTCCAGACAGATTAAAACCAGCACTGTTTTCAGGTTTGCTGGAAGGCTTGGAGCCTTTAGAGAAACCATTTTCTCCCTTTCCAGTAGCTCCTCCATATGACTAGAAATGACAGAAATGACAGCCGAAGGACAAAAGCCAGACCCTGCATGGCCAGGCAGACCGGCTGGCTGTTCTTTGCGAGAGAGCCAGATGGTGAAGGGGCAGTCAGCCCGTAATACTCGCGGAGGCTGGTGGGGGGTAGCGGGTGGTCTTCTGTTCTGTTCATTTTCTGTCAGGCCAGCCTTCACCCCTGGCCTAAAGCACCTTGACCCTGGAATCAAGCAGCATTGAGCCATGAAACTGTGCTGGATGGAGCTGCATGTCAGAGAGACCCACCAAAGCCCGAAGTGTTGTCAGATGGGCCGCTGATGTTGAACCGACTTTTTCTGTCCCTCTCTGGCTACTTTTTATAATAGCTGCAAGCTTTTTTTAAACAATGACCAAAACTCAAAAAGAGCAAAGCAAAAAATATCCTGTGTGTGACTGTGTGTGAGTGTACGTGTGTGTGTGTGTGTGTGTGTGCACGTGAAAGGGTGTGTTTCCAACATTATCCATTCATTTATTTCATCTAAAGAGGAGCATGGGTCACAGTATTTACCATATATTTTAAGGTGTAAAAATCCTACTGTTAGTCTATAACAGCCCTATCGTTGAGCTACCCTCAAAATTCTCAACGTCTGACTAACTTCCCAGCAGCGAAGGCAGACAAACCAGAAGAGAAGACACAGCTGTTGCCTGGCCAAAACTTTAAAAATGAGAGAAAAGGAAACTCAGCCACAAACCTCAGGCACCAGGATACTTTGAATGATGGCCGCATAAACATTCCCAGCCCTGCCTTATTGTTTGGGAAGAAACAAGAACTAGAGTTGACATAGAGCTCCCGTTTGCCTGCCTTTGTGGATTTGAAGGTTGTCTGAGCCTGAGGTATAGTTTGGGAGCCTAGACTGGGTAAATTTCTCATTTTGTAGTCAAAATATGTCAACTTCCTATGAGAGAAAGTTAAACTTAAATGTCAGCTCATCTATTTCGACAGGGGGGCCTCAGGGTAATGGGAAAATCTCTGTCTCAGCTTCCCAGCAGCCGTTGAGCATTTCTCCTGGGGCAGGACCAGTGTCTTGAAATGCGTCCTATGGATAGGCCTGTGTAGGATGGACACTCAAATCCGAGATAAACAGTGGAGTCGACTCAAAGGCCTCTTCCTCCCTAGACTTTGGGTAAAGCCCAGGGACTGGTTGTCTAAATCTCCCAAGGCTTTTCACACCCTAAAGGGCTATTATTAATAACCTCATTAACTCCTGTCTTGAAATTATAGGCTTCTGCCCATGTTCAGAAAAATTAAGGTTCCAACAGCCTTTGTTACAGACTTCTCCTTGACCTCAGAGAGCAATTTTTTATCCTCTTCTTGGTTATAAACATACTTGTTCTAAAACTCACTCCAGCTCTTGCAAAGAAAGCTACCTGCCATGGGAGCAGAATGAGGTGTTGGAAATGTCAGTTACCCAGATTGTTTCCTATGCCCCAGAGATGGAACTTCAGGCTCATCTGTGGGACCACTAGAACTCAGAACCCAGAGAGTACGACTAGGACTAACTAACTAGTCTCACCTTGGCCAGAAGAGCCAAAGGACAGCAGCTCACCTGGATAAAGCCCTCCCCTGGGTGAGATTCATACTGTAAGTCAGGCCCAATTCCGAGGGCTTTCCATGTACTCGCTCCTTTATTTCTCACATCGACCCTCAGAAGTAGAAATTCCTACTATTCCCATTTATAGAGGGGGGGAAACTAAGACACAGAGAGGTTAGATAACTTGCCTAAATTCATACTGCTAGTAAGATGTTTCTTGGCTTATTTTATTAATGGCAAAGCATCCATTCGAGAGAGCAATGAAATCTGTTATTAATTGTACAGGAGAGAGGCCCGAGAGCCTGGAGGTAAAAGACCAATCAGAAACTGTTCACAGGATGAGTGACAGGTGCTGAGACCTGGGCCAAGGCAGCAGCCATGGAGACAATGGGACAGGGTGGACAGGAAGCAGTGACAGGAAAGCTGTGACACAGGGAATGTCCACAAGACATGGTTGAAGTTGAGTAGGAAGAATTGGCCAAGGGAGAGGACGTGACAATGATTCTCCAGTGTCCAGCTTACCCGGGGAGATGTCGAAGGTTCCAGGAACCAAGCAGGGTATGCAAAAGGGGGAGCGGGTTGGGGAACGGGATGGTTCAGTCTTCGATACCTGTGCTACATCTGCATTACAACTAAGATTTGGTAGGTAACTGGATCTGGAATTCAAGGGAGGACTAAGCTAAAGGTAGAATTTGTGAGCCATGAGCAGACAGATGGAAGCTGACCCCAGAGACTTGGTGAGTGCCCCCCAAGGGGAGCACTCAGCCTGAGGGAGAGGCTGGAGGAGGGCTGAGGGGAGCACCAGGTAGAGGCTGAAAAGACCTTAGCCAAGAGGTAGGAAGGAGCAGGCAGAGGCTGGAGGCACTGAGGCCAAGGGAGAGTGTGCAGAAGGGAGAGGCCCAGTGCATCAGATATCCAAATTGAGTAAAATGAGGCCCAGCCCTGGCCAAGGCATTTGGCACTTGGGATCCATGGGTGGCCTGAACAGGTGCAGCTTTGGTGGAGTGTTGTGGCTACCAAACACTGCCAGAGAGGCCAGACCATGGCAGGCTGGAGGGCGATGAGAAGTGTGGCCCGAGCAAAGGGAGGAAAGGGTTGGAGGAGCACAGAATGGAAGACCGGTAAAGTCCACATTATCGGATTCTTACACTCTGTATTGTGTTTTTTTCTGCTTTCTGCAGAGCCTCCCAGATAATCATTTTAATGACTTTCCCATGATCACAGATAACATTTAATGAATACTTTCTATTAGATGAGTATCTAACTCCAATATCTAATTGTAGGCCTTTATAACAAGTCTATCGGGTAGATGGTACATTGTGGTCTGTTTTAAAGATGAGAAAGGTGAGGCTTAAGGAGCCGAACCAGCTTGCCTGAGGCTGCAGACCCGGGAGGGGCAGACCCAGAATACAAACTCAGGTTGTCTGAATTGTCCCTTTGTGCTTAAGTATCAAACTGCGACCCACTGCCACCAGAAAACCTGACTTCCTGCTGATTCTCGTGGTATGACACATCTAGGGGGGCTCTACTCTTTTGCTCTGCGTGTAGCTTTAGCTTTAAATTTCTGCAGATACTCTTCCAGCCCAGTCTCATTGCTCCTCCGGTGCAAAGCAGTTGAGTAATTAGCACACAGAACGCTGTGGGTGGGCTGATTCGCAAGGACAAATACTGGGAGTCCCTCAAAATAGCGAAAGAAAAGAGGCATCCATCCAGGAAACCCACCTGGTTTTATCCTGAAATATAAATGCTTATCCCAAGGAATCTTAAAGGAAAACATTTAACTGGTGATTGAAATAGTTTAATGCAAAAAACCAGGCTGAACACAGCAGCAGTCCCATCCAGCTTTTAAAATATTTTTAGAGGCTTTCGTAAATACTTCACCAAAAGAGATGAGAAACATGACACTTAGCAAGACAAAGTTTAACCCACAAGAACTTGAGCAAGAGTTGATAGAGATTCAAGAGCAGACTTTTTTGTATTTGAATATAACCCACCAGAAAACAAGGTCAGAGCATGAAATCTTCAGGATGATATTTTTAAAATTGGTGCTTCTGCCTCAAAAGCTTTGTGTCAAGCAACTTGAAGGGCTCTGGATTTCCCAGCCTTTTGGCATCATCCTGTAGAGACCCCTTCAGTTGATGGCCTTCAAACATGGCTCGCTGAGATCCCAGCAGGAAGCACAGCTCGGCCCAGTATGTACCTGTGTGTGCGTTGTGTGTGCACACAAACACCAACCATATACATGCCCAGACAAATTTAACTGATACGAATTTGTCACAAAATGATAGTTATCTTCGCCATGGGCAAACGGCTCAAGTATTTCCCTTCCGCTTCTATTTTACTTCTTAAACATTTTGGTCCTAATACACAACATTGTTTCATGGGGGCTTGAAGAGTTGCAACCAAGGAGTTAGAAACCCTATTCTAAAGGATCTAAGTTCAAGTACTCTAGCCAGAAAGATGTGCACAGGGAAGAATCTACGGTTGTATAATAGAAAATATGCAAACTTTAGAATTACGCAGCTGTGGGGTCCAGTCGCACCTCTCCAATTTACAAGCTGTGTGCCTAGGCAAATTAGTTGTTAGTCTGACCTTCTGTTTCCTCTCCCTAATCCTTTTGGACTTTGCCAGAAGACCCTTGTGATAGCACCTAGCCCAGCAATTAGAAGCACTGAATTCAATCATTCATCCAACTAATATCTACTGAGCGCCCGATGCTCTCCTAGGACTGGACAGATAGCAATTTACAAACCTAGCTGACACCTCTGCTGTCCTGGAGTTGACATTCCGGGTGGCAGAGACAGACAATAGGCAAATAAACATAGAATATGTCAGGGATTAATAAGAGCTACATCAGTTTGTTGCTGCTGTAATAAGCTACCACTAACTAAGTGAATTAAACCAAACCTATCATTCTATAGTTCTGAAGGACAGAACCCCAAAATATGTCTCACTAGGTTAAAATCAAGGCAAGGCCAGGGCTACATCTCTTCTGGAGGCTCCAGGAGAGAATCCATCTCCCTGCCTTTCTAGAGTTTAGAGACTGCCCACATTCATTGATTTCTGGCCCACTTCCCTCTCCAAAGCAACCATGAGTTGAATCTTCCTCAGAGGTATCGCTCTGATTCTCCATCTGTTGGCACGACTTCTCAGACCCTGACCCTCCTGCTCTAGTAAGGCTCTATCCACATGGTTACATTGGGTCCACCTGCATAGTCCAGGATAACCCTCCCCATCCCGCCGAGATCCTTAACTTAATCATATTTCCAAAGTCCTTTCTGCCTTAGAAGATAATATATTAAAGGTTAATAGAGCAAAGCTAAATAAATGTCATTGTCTCCTTTTAGTATTTGCAGCAGGGGAAATCGGCCTCCTTCAACATGGCTGGGGAACAAGAATGGCCAGAGGAAGTAGACTCCCTTCATCACACACTGAAAACTTCAGCATTCATAGACCCACTCTTCCCAGATTCAACCCACTACCTACAAATCCAAAGGGGTTGTGATCTGGGATGTTTGGTCATCTGTCCCTCGAGCCTGGGATACCTGAGCAAGTCCTAGTGAGCAAGTGCTGAGTGAGCCTAGGGGACAGCCAGGGATCTGCATCCCAGGGGCCTTTTATTGGTCTTGCTCCATTGACATTTCTGTTTAGTAATTTTCCTGAATTTGTTATCATTGCTTCATTCGTGAACTCTGGGCATTAAGTGGGAAGAAAAAACTTCAGTGGAAGTTGGAAGGATAGACCCATGGTGTGAGGATATGGCTGGAAATATGGTAAAAGCAAAAGCTGAGAGCCTGAATGAACTCTGTGTTTGCAAATCTGAGGTTGCCCCCTAGTCTCAGGTGTACCCTCATGAGCACAGAGCCTTCTGTTATGGGTCTCTTCTCCCCCTACATTCCTGCAGACCCCTGAACTTAGGGCCTGGATAGTCACTTAGCCTTTACAACCACATTGCCAGTGGTATGTTGTTCACATGACTGAAGAAGCATGGAAAGTTCTACATGTCTGTGCTGGCCACTGCTCTGGTTTCATTTGTAACCTGGGTACATTTGTTTTTGTTTTTGCCTTTTGCAGGGAAAACTGGATGCCTTGTGGGTCCTACTAAGGAAAGGATATGATCGTGTGTCTGTGATGCGTCCACAGCCGGGAGACACGGTAGGATTCATTCATGGTTGTCACACACACATTGTTTTTCTCTCTCCCTCTGACTTCATTGAACTAGAATAACTCCATATATATGCAGCTATTATTTTATGTTATGAGAAAACAGATACTAATTCTAAAAATTCTGGTTTCGATAAGACCTTGAGTGTTGTTTTTTTCTGGAAAGGATTTTGACAGAAATAAGTCAAGTTAAACTTCCTAGGACTTGAGCTTCTTAATTTATAGGTACAATGAGTGAAAGAGGCAAGGCTGGCTCTTGCCTAGGCTGTACCAGGATAGAGGCCTGCTATTCCCCAGAGCAGTGGCTTATGGTGACCAGCAAGATGCCAGAGCCACAAGATGGGATGAGGAAATAGGGGCCACAGAAAACTCCCACAAACTTCCATCAGGTATTGGGCCCAACTAGTCCAAGATCTCAGGAGGGCCTTCTGCCCTGGTGAGGATTTGCCCCAAATGGTCAGGCCCAAGCATGGAGAGTCTCCAACTAAGAGGAGGCAGAAAGGGAGGAGCCAGCAGAGACCCTTAGGAACAATTTGGCCCATCTTCATTCTGTCAATGAGAAAATGAAGGACAAGAGAAGCTGAGTAACTTGTGTTCACATAACGAAAATGCTAGAAACAGCTCCAGTTCTGCCGAAATCACATTGTTGCTCTGTCTTCTTGTAAGAGCTCGTCTCTCATCCCTAAACTTTATAAAACAAAGCTTGCGACCAAGTTCTCCCTCAACTCGCAGCAAACTACACCTTCCATCCACTTCTCTGGGAGTCAGACACATTAACCCAAAAGCAAAATAAAGGTGTCTGACTTGGAACCCCTTTCAAATCAGATAAAGAATTTCCTTTAGGCAGGAGAACTCCAGGCAAGTTACTTAAACTCTCTGAACTTCAGCTTTATAAAGTAGATGATACATTGGTTGGTTGGAGAAGGTAATGTTTGTAAAGAATTTGGTCCAGTAGTGAACATACGGTTATACTCAAGCAATGGCAAATATAACTGTCGTTATTTATTTCGTCCTTTTTTACCATCTGTGAAGGGCTGATGCATAAACTCAAAGCATACTGCAATTGATGTCTATCAGGCGTACCCACTTGTTTACCCTGCTCACTCTTCAACATGGGACAACTCATAAAACCCAAGAGCACAGCCTACCAGGCAGGCCCCTCCCCTCTTCCTATGCACCTAGCTTATGGCTGAGAGATTTGGTCTAAAGTTTCAAAGCTTGTGCATTTTGCCTTTCCTGTCTCCAGGTTGTGGCAGGGACAGCAGGCAAGTATGATGTGCAAGAAACCAGGTCATATAAATGCGGACCTGATGTGGCTCTTATGTCATGTGGAATTCGTAGTTTGTCTGTGAAAGGCCATAAGGACACACTGAGATAGCAAATTTTAAAGTACAAAGTCTACAGTTAACAGAAGTGAGCCTAGGCTGTAAACTTGGTAAACTTGGGGTGGTGTTTGGCCTTATACATCTGGTTTCTGTGGGAAATTAAGAAGTTTTTTCAGCATGCATGACCCTCATCTAACACATGAAGAAAGAAAACAATTAGATACCTAAACTCAGGTTCAGCGGTACTGTTTTTTGTGACAGAATATGCTGGTCAAGTATACAAGCCCATTTCTTCAGAACACCTGAGAAACATCTCCGCTAAGATTTGTTAACATTCCATCCCCCACTGACCGGTTTGGCAGAAACATAGTCATAAGCTGAGTCAACCTGAGAAGTCCTAGGGGATGGTGTCATGGATAAGATACAAGAATCAACAGTGTTTGGCCTGAAAAGGCCAAAGGGATAAGTCCAACAACAATAGGATATCCTCTAATGAATCACACCTAGACTGAATCTCCTATTTGAGAATTTTGAATGAAAGTTTGTGTTAACATTTGAAGATGTGCTCTACACTTTTAAGAAACACAATGCTGCCTTGAGTTTTCATTCTCTGATCACACAAAGTAATAGATTTGAAGTACAGAAGGTCTAAGAATTAGGATACAATTGACCTTATTCTCAGCGCTGTCCCAAATGGATTTTTGACCCGCCTACTTTTAAATGGGCTTTCTTGATAGAAATCCTAATAAAATTTTAAGACACATGGGAAAAACAGAAGCTGAGAACTGTGTCCTTGTAATCATGACGAGGCCCCAGACATCTTGACGTACGCATGGAGTTACGCAAGGAAGGTCACAGAATAGGTAGGAAGGGACCAAAGCTGCCTTATGGCAACTTGGGAAAGAATTCCAAGAGAGGGAGGATGATGTTCTAGCTTTGTCTACATGCTTATTCTTTTTTGTTTTGCATAACTTCAGGAGACTCACTACAGATCTGCATCACTTACACGGTGATGATTCTGTAAGAATTCCTCAGCCCTGATTTATGGGGCTGACCACATTTTCCATAAACTCGAAATGACTACATCCAGGCATGTGCTCATGAACAAGAGTCACAGGTTCTGAATTTTTCCTTTAAAACAAAAACAAAAACAAAAATCACCTAATTACATTCTCCGTTGCATTCTGAATTGTTTCAAACACATGTTGACCTCACAGAAACCTGGCAGTTCTCCCTTCTCTGTTCATGTCTGCCCTATCCTCCCCACAGTTAACCCACCCCAGCCCTGCAGAGGCAGACAGGGGCCCACCAACAGAGCCTTTGAGCCTTCCTGCCCAAGGAGACTCCAGCCTCCACCGCAGAGCTGAGGGCTACGGAGGCTGGAGCCCAGAGCCACACCCTTCCCCGGGACTGGTGCCCACCGCCTCAGAGCCGTCCAAGTCCCAGGTCAGGGAAAACATGAATGGGACCACAACAGGAGACATGAGCTTCCAGTCTGCCTTCTCTCCCATCCATCTCCCTCCCCCGCCCCCCTGCTTCCTTTTTCTTCCTGGGGTGGGCTCACAGTCCTATTGCTCCTTGGTACCCACCAGGAAAGCCTTGGGCCAATACACAAGAGAAGGTGCCAGAAGAAACCACTTAAGTAACAAACCAGCAACACATCTTATCCTAAAACATAGAGTTCACTAAGCACATGATACCCTTTGCTGGAACCATCCCCCTGCCTCCAATATATAACTGTTCTATGCTTTTTCTAAAATACATATCTCAATGTGACATTCTGAGACTTCAGACTTTCAAAGACCAGGAAAAACCCACCAAAAATAACTTGACTTAGAAAGAACACCCTAATTTCAAATGCAAGGATATAAGGGAACTTCAGAGATCAGGTTTCATGGAATCCAGTGATTTTCAACCTGGTTGCACATTGTGATCACCTGGGGAGCTTTAAAACACTGACATGCTGTGTGGGGGTTGGCGGGGGACTAGATGACTCAGTCGACTGAGCATCCAACTCCTGGTTTTGGCTCAGGACTTGATTGCAGGGTGGTGGGATTGAGCCCCGAATCAGGCTCTGTGCTCAGCGGGGAGTTTGCTGAAGATTCTCATTCACTCTCTCCCTCTGTCCCTCTCCTGCCCGCACTCACTCTATCTCTGTAAAATAAATAAATCTTAAAAAACTAAAAAACAAAAACACTGACCCCGGGATCCCACCCCAAAGGTTTTATTTCATTGATCTGGGATGATGTCTGGACACTGGGATTTTAGAAGCTCCCCCAGGTGTTCTAATGGCAACCAAGGTTAAGAATCAGTGATCTGGTCCAATTCCCTATTTTTCATCCAAGACAGCATCTTCCCTTTCCTTCTCCATCAATTTGAAGGCAACTCTCCACACTCCTTCTGAGCCCTGTGCCTATGTCTCACAGGCATAAGGGAGATGGATGATGACTGTTTTCATGGGCTTTCACCAGGCGCTTTCCTACCAGGAAGATTAACATCAGTTTGGGCCCCTATCTTATTGTTACTGCTTAGGGGAAAAAGATGGAAAAGAGGAACTGTAACTCTAGTTTTTTCTGGATGGAATTCAATGGATATATTGACCAGTCTAACCCCTCCCCTGTTGTTTTTACCTCCATTTGGGCCATCCCCCTTCATGTGCTCTGGGAGGGAACCACTAGAACTGGCTGTCTTCTTTGTTTTCATCTCTTCTGTCTCTCCCAGATCTGACAGTGGGAGGCCGGTACATTCCATTACTATCAGCAAAAACAAAAAACTCAGGCACGCTCTGAGCCTATCTGGCAAGGCTGGGCCTCCTTGCCATCTGAAGAGACCCGAGACCCCAGGAAACACACACGTAAATGTACATAAACAATGTTTGAAACTTATCTGAAGCTCAGCCCCAGAGGTTGTGAAATCCTCTCCTGGAGCTCCAGCCCCTGGCTGCTGTCTGTGCAGCTGTTTCCAATAAGGGAGTAAGGCCAGTCACATGGGCACCAAGCCTCCCTACTGGCACTGAGGCCAGAGTGAGCCGAGGCAGGTTATCTCAGAGGGCAGAGAGTGTGCTCAGCCCAGTCCTTCGAAAGCAGATGAGCCACCTGAGCAACTCAGAGATTGTGTCTATGCTGTACCCCCACCCCTTTGCCCTGCTGTCCACATTCCCTGTATTACCTCTTTCTTCTTCTGTCTTTAACTTGGCTGCCTTCCCTCAAGCATTCTTTGATCAAAAATCTATTAAGCTCCCACTAAGAACCCATCACAGTGCTGGGCACTAGGGATATCGATTAGAACAGGCCTGAATTTTGGCTTCCTGGAAGTGAGTGTGGGACTTGGAGGAGAAGGGAGGGTCAGGCATTGTATTGACCGCAGGTGGTTCTAGAAGCACAAACCCATTCACAGTCATTTGGAGAATGAGAATGATCTCTATTCACGGAGCAGTGACTGAAGCTTAGGGTAGGATATTAACTTTGCCAAGGGCACACTGCTAGTAAGGTTACAAGATTTAGTCCCCTAGTGCCCGCGGTTCTCGGTCACACCACTTCAAAGAATGAAGAGGTAGACCAGAACAAGAGTGGCGGGCAGAAAGGCAAGGTGTACCGAGTGACAAGACAAAGCTCCCGGAGAGGGAGGGGACCTGAGAGGGTTGCCATTTGGGCATTCAGATCTAGG